TTTTAAAAATCATAGAAACCAGAGGTGACATATATGAACTGATGCAGAGTGAAATGAACAGAACGAGGGGAACAATGTACATAATGGCCATAATAAGGTAAAGGAAAAAAAACTTGGAAAGTCCACAGAAGTATGCTTAATACAGTGACTAATAATGACTTCAGAAGACTAAGGATGCAGCATGTCACATACCTCATGCATTTTTTAATTAAACTTTTTTTTCTATCAATGCAAATAAACTTTTTCTTTATCCCACACCCTACCCATGAGAAGTAAAGGAAAACAAAACTTCTGTTAAAAGCAAAACAAATTCCTAAATTGGCCATGTTTAGAAAGAGAGAAAGAAAGAAAGAAAGGAAAGAGGAAAGGAAGGAAGAAAAGGAAAGAAGGAAGTAAGTAAGGAAGTCTCAAATTGCACTCATGATTATTTCCTTTCTACTGAAAAGTAAGTAGCATGTTTCCTCATGAGTCCTCTAGAATATGGTTAGGTATTTTATTATTCAGAGTTTCTAACTCCTTCAAAATGTTTCATTCTTACAATAGTGATGTGATCATATGAATTGTTTGGTGGAGCATGGCAAATGCAGAAACTTGTTTCACTTGACTATGCATATTTGTAATAGGTTTTGGTTTTCTTGCCTTCTCAATGAAAGGGGGGTTGTGGAAGGGAGATAATTAGGATCTGAAAACAAAATTGAATTAAAAAAACTTAGCAAGAGATATTCAATAGAGTGTCTTAAGGATTTGTGCTTGGCCCTGTACTCTAATATTTTTTATCAATGACTTGGATCAAAATATAAATAGCATAAATACCAGATTTTCAAATGACACAAAGATGACAGGGATAGCTAACATAGTAGACAACAAAGTTAGAATTCAAAAAGATCATACAAAGGTTAAAGATCCCAACAGCATTGGGATGAATTAAATAGATGAAATTTAGTAGGAATAAATGTAAAGACTTACACTTTGGTTAAAAAAAAATAAACTTTGCAAGATGGAAGAGGCATGACTAGATAGCAAGGAAGAAACTGAGGCTGAGAGAAATTAAACTACTTGCTTGATTAAGTAATACTTGTAGTAAGCGGCAGAAGTAGATTCAAATTCAGTTCCCATGACTTCAACTTCAGCATTTGGCATAACAACAACAATAACCACCTCCCACCAAATGCTATACTTTTTAATGAATGAGTCTATCACCTCTAACTTTTCTAAAACTCTGTTAAGGTTCTTAACTTCTTTCTTGTTTAGATTTTTATTATATTTGTCTAGTTCTGAAAGGTATACATCCCCATTATGGTTTTACTCTCTTTTTCTCCCTGAATTTGGTGAATATATATTCATTATTAATATAATTTTTGGCTGTGTGAAATATTTTTTCTTTGACCCAGAAGCTCTGGATTTTGGCTCTGATGTTCCTGGAAAGTTTCATTTTAGGTTTGCGTTTAGGAGGTGATCAATGGATTCTTTCTATTTTTCACTTTGTCAGTCAATCAGTTAATAAACATTTATTAAACACCTACTATGTTCCAGGTACACTGCTAAGCACTAGAATACAAAGAAAGGCAAAAGACAGTCCCTGCCCTCAAGAAGCTCACAATCTAATGTGGGAGGAAATATGCTAAGAAATATGTACAAACACACTATTTACAGGATAAAAAGAAAATAATCAACAGAAGGAAGGCACTAGAATTAAAAGACATTGAGAAGGACTTGCGGTAGAAGGTGGGATTTTAGCTAAGAATTGAATGAAGCCAGGCAAGTCAGGAGGCAGAAAAGAGGAGGGAAAGCATTCTAGGCATGTGGGACAGCCAGAGAAAATGCCAATAGTCAAGAGATGGAGTGTCTTGTTCATGGAATAGCAAGGAGGCCAATGTCACTGGAATACAGTATATGGTGGGGAAGGGGCATCCTAAGGTATGAGAAGACTGGAAAGGTGGGAGGAGACTCAGCTATGAAGGGCTTTGAAAGCCAAACAGGATTTTGTATTTGATCCTGGAGACAATAGGGAGTCACTGGAGTTTACTGAGTAGGAAAGTGGCATGGTCAGACTTTTGACTTAGGAAAATCATCTGAAAGGAGAATTAATTGGAGTGGGAGAGATGTAAAGCAGGCAACCCCACTAGCAGTCTATTATAATAGTATGGGCATGAGGTGATGAGGGCCTGAACCAGAGCAGTGGCAGAGTCAGAGGAGAGAAGATGCCACATTCAAGAGATGTTGCAAAGGTGAAATCAACAGCCTTGACAACAAATTGAATATTGGGGTGGCAGGTGAGAAATGGTGAGGCATCAAGGACAATATCTTTCAGCCTACAGTTAGTTACTCCTCAACAGGACTAGATCGCTTTAATTTATTATTTCTTGTAATATAGTATCTTGGTTTTTTTTAAGTCACATAGTACCATAATTTTTAGATTATTTCTCATTGATCTTTTTTGTAGATCAGTTATTTTTTTAAGGTATGTACTTTACTCTTTCCTGTTTTTTATTTTAATTTTTTAATTTTGTTTTAATATATCATGTTGATTGATAGAGTCTTTGCTTTCTGTTTGAGAAATTTTTATTTTTAAGGAGTTCAATTCTTGGGTAAGGTAACACTACCTATTCTAAGTTATTAATTTTCTTGCCCTTCTTTCCTAATCTAGTTATCATTTTCTCTAATATTATATTTTGTATCTCTTCTTTCATTACTTCTATAGTCCTTGTGGTCAGGTCATTTTTTATTTTGAGGCTATATGGACTTGTTATGGACTTATTTTTTTCTTCAGGGTTTACCCCTTGGGCTTCTCTTAGTCCAATGTACTTCTTTTTTGTATTTAGCATTTCCTTCTGTTTACTTCAATCCCCAGCCTTGGTTTCTGGATTGGAGCTTTGTGTTTGGGTCAGACTCTGCTCCTTCTTTTCTTTGGATGATGTAGGCAGGCTCTGCTTAATCCTAGATACAGAAGCTATCACTAAGCCCTACTTACTTCCCCAACCAGATGATTTTGGTTGTGCTGTTAGCAGGCCTCCTGCAAGACCATGTGTATGATTCACTTTCTCCTCCTGTGGCTTGGGCATAAGGGTTCCTAGGCAGTGATGTAGCATTGTCTCCTCCTGTGGGTCAGATCAGCCGGGCTCTGGAGCTAGCAAGGACTGTCTGGATGCTGGGTTAGACACAGTTTGTTTGAGCATTCTTCCAGTCCTCTCTTCTGCAGCGGTGAGTTGTCTCACAGAATAAGATGTCTTAGCCCTGAGGCCAACACTAGTCTGTCCATATCTCCTTCAGAGGCAAACCTTGGACTGCCCAAGTCCCACTCTGGGCACTGGGGTGGCCCCATCTCTTGCTCTGGTCTGCATTGCTTGAACTCTGTTCCTTCTACGAACCTTACGGCTGTCTCTTTTTGGTTTTGCTCATCATTGTTCCTCCTGGGACATTTTAATTATTTACTGGTGTGTTTGTGGGGGACTGTCTTCCTCTAGTTAACTACCCTCTTCCCATAGTCTAGATTATAAGGTTAGAGATCTAAGGGGAAATTTAAGATTCAAGAAAATCAAAGGACAAAGAGTTGAAATGATGAATCCTCCAACCTCAGTGGGAGGAAATAGTAGCAATGATATTCATAAATATGCAGAAGTGGACAAGGCAACAGAAAAGGATGGGTGATGCATTGCTACTAAATCCTGGGGTGAACACTGCTGAGAAAGCAATTTTTCTAGTTTCTCAGTAAAGATTTGGGGTATGGAATGGAAGTGTTAGAGAGGAAATACTGTGACATTGGAATTGAGCGTGTGGATTTTGCCCTACAGAAGGGTGTGGGACACTAGGTCCTTGTGATGGGTTTAGTCCAGGGAGAGTTTGATCATTGGGAAGCTGGACTATCTAAGAGTGTAGTGCCTCCTTGGGAGGCATCGTACCCTAGGAGAGAGAATGTGTGATTTCCTGGGAGCAGCTAGTACCTAAAGTGTTGGGGTGAATAAAGATAGAAAGAGGATATTGCATGACCTTTGGAATGAGAGATGATCTTGGTGAAGACAGAGAATAGGGCCAGCTTCACAATTAGGGACACAGGCTGACTTCTACCAAACAACACTGTTCCCCATGTAAATCGCTATTTCTAAGTGAGGCATATCAGGAACAACAGGAAAACAGAGTAAAAGGATGTGACCTACAAAGACAATTGCAATTTGAGAGAGCTCAAACCTAGTACTTCAAAAGCTTTGTCTCCATGAGGGACACAAGAGGGACTAGAATTAGATTCATGCCACCTGATTGTGTCAGGTACATTAAAAAAAAAAAACTAGCTTAAGTCCTACTTTGATGCCTCACAGTAACCTAGGTTTTTCAAACATTTGGTCCATAGAGAATAAATTCTGGTAGGTTTTATAAGCAGGAAAGACTTTGAGAGCAGGCTTGGCTATGAGCTAAATATCTGTCCCCCAAGGACCAATCTAGCTAAGCCCGAAGAAAATCTCATCACTAAAGGATAGTCACCAGATAATGATTTTTTTCAGCTACACAATTTCTAGGACCATTTAATAAAGCAAAGAAGGCTTGTGATCTGAAATAAAACCCTTCCTTGAAAAATAAGTTTAACAAATACTCACTAGAAAGTACTCCAAATCATCACTTCCTAGTCACGATGCTTAGAAAACTAAATCTAAAGCTAGAAGAAGATAATACTGGATAGTACCAGTAAGAGCCCTAACACTTAACTATGAACAGCCCTCAAAAGAACTGACAAGTACTCAAGATCAAGTTCCACATTTTAACCGGTGTGGTAGAGAGAGGCTAAGAAAAGCATCTCTGCTTGAAATGTGCTCATTAGCTAACAAATAAAGAAGAACATTCTGTGAACTCGAAGGGAGTATCTTACCGGGGAAAGGGTTATTATGGCACTTAATTAATCTATTTTTATGGAAGAGGAAGAGACCATATGCTGGATTACAAAGGGATGTCCTTTCTCGCGGAATCGCTCCCCTCTATCCCCAACCTCTTCTTTCCCTTCCCCTACTCACTGTTTGAAGGGGTCGTGAAAAGGTAGGGCCAACCACTCCCCGTGCATGTCGTGCATATAATCTACCATCTCCTCGGGGCTGCGATCAGAGGAGATAAAGACTATTTCAAAGGGGGCTGGCGGGTGGGTTTCTTCCACAAGTTCCGTGTAGAAGTCGCAGAGGAGCGGAGTGAAGTCCCTGCAAGGGGAGCACCAGCCTGCTGAAAAGTACAACCCCACCACTTTGTTCTGCAGCACCTCCTCGGGCTCCACCGTATCCCCATCCTTGTTGACAAGGATCCGCCCGCTGAAGACGTCCGCCATTCTCACGGCCGCACCGCGTTTCTCCCTCCCCGCTGCTGCTCTCTCTGCCCCGGGGAGCGGGAGAATGCGCTAGGGAGGTTTCTCCTTTCTCTCTGCAGGTTTTGTAAATGCTGAGGCGAGTGCGTTGCTGAGTGACGAGAAAAGAAGCCGGGCTAAAGGGGGAGGGCGCCTTCCTCCTGTCCTGCAACTAGACAGATACTGCACCAGGGAGTTAAGCTCCAAGGTCTTGCTGTCACTTTAGAGGGAGGAGGATAATTTTCTTGACTCCTAAATTTTTCTTCACGCTCACCCACCAATAATTATCTCTTCATCACCCCATACACATTTCTAAATAATGAGGAGATTGGTCCCTTTCCTACAACTGCTAAATTATAGCTGGAGTGGTCCCTCACTCCCAAGTTCCCAAATCTCACAGAAACTTTGTAAGCTTTTCCGGGAAACCTAGCAAATTTCAGTCTAAGCCGCTACGGTCCTTTGTGAGAGTGGGTGGGCATCACTTCCCTCTCCAGGCTTCGCCCTCCTCACGCTGCTGACCACTCTTCCAAACTCTTTTTTTTCTTTTATCTCGTTAGTTCTTCCCAGAAATAAGCAGCAGAAAGACCTTGGAAAGACAAATTCAGAGCCTAGAGTTATCCGCCGCCGCTAAGTATAACTCTTGAGGAAAACAAACAAACAAACAAACATGGGTAGAGGAGGGAAGGCTGCAGGAACCAGAGTTTCCAAAGGAAGTCTAGAGGCTTCTATTTAATATCAGTACCATTGGAGAAAAGGGAACAAAGAAAGGAGGAAAGAAAAAAGGAAGGAAGGAAGGGAGGGAGGAAAAGGTAAAGAAAAGAGGAAGGAAGGGAGAAAATAATATCTATGAAACTCTCAAGGAATTAAACACAAGTTTAATATTCCAGGGCCATTCTCAAGTACTAGGGTCTAGGAGCAGGAATGGAGGGATCAATGTCCCCAAGCAGGATATAGAGTCCAAAGTCCACATCCAAGGGAAGATGGTGGGGCTGGAGAGAAAGTGAACAGTGCCCTATCTGCTGTTTCTCTGGAGTTGCCTTTTCATTACAGCACTTTCAGAAGCACTGTATGGCAGGGGAATGATATTTGGACGGGTTGCTAGTTTATGTTTGTTGATTAGTGATGGATTGGTGGGTTGGTTAGTTTACTTTTCTTCTGTCAGCTGGAGGTGTGGGTGTTTTGTAGAATTCCATATTTCACAAAATCCACAGCCACTGCTATGGAAGCTGGGAAGGTAGTAGCTGGACATTCTGTAAGCACTTCTTTTCTTTTTTCACTAACAGCCAAGGCATAGAGTAGCAAGCAAGGTAATCTACTTCTCACTTTTAGTGGACAGCAGAGAGTCTTCTTCCTAATAAACTTTAGAATACAAGAGAAGGGATACAGGAAGGAAAATTGGACAAGTCTTGGAGAAAGCTTCCCTCCCTTTTAAAGAGCAATTATCTTAAGCTGTGTGGTGGGAATTCTAAAATATGTTGCTCCAACCACACTACACCCTTTTGATGAGGTAGGTTGTGTTGTGGCAGAGGACATCTCAAAAGAATTTCAAAGACTCAGGCCGATTCTAAACCAGTTAGAGAGATTTATTATGGTTTTGAGGTTTCATGCTTTAGTGAGTGGCTAAGTTCCGTAGAGGAATTAGAGATTTCAGTAAGGCAAAATAGACAAATGGATAGAGTATATGATGCTGATTATACAATCAAATTTACATAGAATATAGGAATATGATTAATATTAAAAAGGCAGGAGGAGTTTGTTAAGGGATTAGGTAATAGGCATGGGTCAAAGCCTCAGTAGAATTGTGCATGCAGCTACCCACAATGCATACAGAAAAACCCAAAGAGGGGGCATTTATATATGATAATGATATTATAATAAGTCTCTCTATGTCATGAGTTTACTCTAGGTCAGTTCTTTACTATTACTGCACAGGTGCTATCTTGGGGGGGGGGGGTCCCTTCTATGGTTTAGTGGTCAAGTATCCTAGTTTGCTTCCAGGTGGTGCTGCTTTCTTTTTGACTAGCTATGTTGGTTCTTTCTGGTCAAGATAGGTAGTTAGGTATTGTGGTCCTATCTTGGGCTAAATGGATGATGCAGTTGTGGCTGAATGCATGGATGCATTTGTTTCAGTGGGAAATATGTGAATTGGATCTAGGGGCAGTGGCTAGCTAGAGGCAGTGGGCCTGCTCTTCAGTGAGGCTTATGATTGAGTTTGGAGGCCTGTGATGTGGTTAAAGTCAGATTGTATGGTTAAATCAGGGCATGCCTGCGGTTCAGTGGGGCCCATAAGGAAGTTAGAATATTGAGGCTGGAGGCAAGTTTATTAGGATTCCATCACTTTGGTGGCAAGGTCCTAAGTTCTTCTAGAGAACAGGGTAAATACATGCTACCCACCACACCTAAGTGAGGCCTGAGCCAGATTAAAATGTAATTGGGAAACATTTAACAAAATAAATTTTAAAAGGCCTGAGCCAGGATGGAAGAAGAATGCAAGAATTTGCCTGAACTCTCAGAAATTCACCTCCAAACAACTATAACTCTTCAAAATTAATTCTGGAGTGGAAGAACAAACAAAATGACAGGGTGAAACAATTTTCCAACCTACAACAACTTAGAAAGTCAGAAGGAAAGGTTTGTTTGACAGAATAAAAGGGGAGCACAGTCCAGTGCAAGTGGTATCCAGGCAAACCAGCAGCAGGACATGCCCCAGCAAGCCAGCAGCAAAGCCTGATACCCCAGCACAGGCCAGAAAGGAGGCCCCAGACCTCCAGGGCAAGAAGCTTGGGACAATGCCTCCTCCACCCCAGAAGCAGAGCCCAACTTTAACATAAAGTTAAAAGTCATGAAATAGAGGCTCCACTGTAGTATTACTGTTGGGGGGAAAAAAAAAGGAAAGAAAATGAGCACACATTAAAAAAGAATCTGACCATAGAAAGTTATTCGGTTGACAGGGAAAATCGAAACAAACTCAGAAGAGGAAAACAAAAACAACAACAACAAAAAAAAACTGCTGGGAAGAGTAGAAAATGGTATGACAGAAACTAGATATAGAGCAGGCCTGCACAACCTGCAGCCCATGGACCACTTGCAACATGCCAAAGGATTTTGGGCAGCCCATGAAAAATGTAGAGGGTTTTTTTTTTTTTTGCGGGCTGCCCAAAATCCTTCGGTGTGCTGCAAGCAGCTCATGGGCTGTAAGCAGGTTGCAGGTTGTACAGGCCTGGTATAGACCAACATTTTACACCATATGCCAAGACAAGGTCAAAATGGGTATGCACTTTAAACATAGCAAATTAAGGGAGCATTAATAGTTTACCTGTCAGATCTATGGATAAGAGTAGAATTTATGACCAAAGAAAGCATAAGAAAACAAATTAATGCAACCAAGATTAGAAGGAAAGCAGAAAGCTGGGGTGAGGAAGGGGAGGGAAGTTGTAGCAAGTGTCTATGATAAAAGCCTCATTTCTCAAATATATAGAAAACTGAGTCAAATTTATAAAAATACAATTCATTCCCCAATTGATAAATGATCAAAGGATAGTTTTCAGAAGAAATCAAAGCTATCAATAATCATATGAAAAATGTTCTAAATCACTGTTGGTTATAGAAATTAAATTAAAACAACTCTGAGATATACCTCACATCTAGCAGATTGGATAACATGATGAAAAATGGTAAGTGTCCAAGGGTATGTGGGAAAATTGAAACACATGCACTCTTCTTGAAGTTGTGAATTGATCCAACCATTCTGGAGAGCAATTTGGAACTATGCCCAAAGGGCTATAAAACTGCGCATACCTTTGATCCAGCAATATCACTACTAGGTTTGTTTCCCAAAAAAAAATTTTAAAAAAGGGAAAAGGATCTATTTGTACAAAAATATTTATAGCAGTGCTTTTTGTGATAGCAAAGAATGGGAAATTGAGGGGCTGTCCATCAGTTGGGGAATAGCTGAACAAGTTGTGGTATATGATTGTAATGAAATACTGTTGTGCTATAAAATATATTGAGCAGGATGATAAACTGATACAAGTGAAATGAGCAGAACCAGGAGAAAATTGTACACGGTAACAGCAATATTGTATGATGATCAATTATGAATGACTTAGCTATTCTCATAAATACAATGATCCAAGACAATTCCAAAGGACTCCTAATGAAAAATGCTATCCACCTTCAGAGAAAGAACTGATGGAGTCTGAATGTAGATGGAAGTATACTATTTTTCACTTTATTTTTTGTGTTTTTTTTCCTTGGTCTGTGTTTTCTTTCAAAACATGATGAATACGGAAATATGTTTTGCATGGTTGCACATGTATAACTATTTCAGGGAGAGAAGAAGGAAAGAGAGAGAATTTAGAACTCAAATTTTTAAAAAAATTAATGTTAAAAATTGTTTTTATATGTAATTAGGAAAAACAAAATATTCAAAAAATAATAAAACACAATAATACATAGATAACATTACATTATTTTAAAAATTATTTTTGTTTTGTCAAATGTTCCCTAATTATATCTAAAACTTTGATAATCTTTTTTTAAAAATTGTGAGTTCTGAATAATCTCCTTCCTTGCTGCCCTTCCCCCTTCCTTGAGAAGCAAGCAATTTGATATTGACTATACATGTGAAGTCATGCAAAACATATTTTCATATTAGCCATGTCGCAAAAGAAAAGGCAAACAAAATAAAACAACAAAAATAAAGTTAAAAATCTGCTTCAATCTCCTTTCATCATTCATTTCTCTCTCTGGAAGTGGCTCACATTTTTCATCATGGACTCTTTAGAATTGTCTTCATCAGAATAGCTAAATCTTTCACAATTAACCACCCTTATAGTATTATTGCTGCTGTGTGCAATGTTCTCCTGATTCTGTTCACTTCACTTTGCATGAGTTCATGTAAGTTTTCCCAGGTTTTTCTGAAACCATCCTTATCATTTCTTATAGGACAATAGTATTCCATCACAATCATAGACCACAACTTG